CATAGAACGATATTAGTTTCACAGGACCGTGACGTCATAGCGACGCCATATCAGAAGTGGTGTTTCCGCGCGATATTCTGAAAATTAAATTTATTTTTAGCTTTTAACTTATCAGAGTAATGATATTTTTTTAGAAAATAAAAATATAAGAACTTTCTTTACACTCCTATTAATACATTAAAATCACAATATTGAATCCATACTAAGATTCCGGTAGTTTTTTTTTTTTTTAAGAGTGATAACCCGAAAAATTATCTTAATGCCATCAAAAGTCAAAATGACAATGACAGCTAACTGACAGATAGTGATGCCCTCAGTGAAATCTACAATTAATGCTGGCAGAAGTAATCGTTCTTTTTCCATCTAATAATGATTGTATATTATTATGTTGTGGCCAGATCGTAGAATTGGCAAATTCATGATGCGGCCGGCCATTTCATGTAATGGAAAAAACTTGCTGGCCAGACCGTGATATGGGCTAGCCAGCTCAATGAATAATTGGCATTAAACGATATTGGCGGCTATAGTTACATAAGTCTCAGCAAGAAGCGATGATTTCGCATTGTTTTTGTGATAAATGTATTTTCATTTTTAGATTATACAGCAAATTAAAGAAAGTAGGTTGACCAAACAACGGAAATCAATTACTTGATTAAGTTAACTGAGTAAATTGAAGGAGTGTAGTACGAAGGTGTAGTATATTAGAGGATATAAAAGGTTTTGAGATATGAACTGAACTCAATTTTCTCTATGATTTACTACTATAGGTTAGAAATTTAAGACGATCACGAAGCGTAGCGTATATAACACAACCCTTTTATGTCAGAATTCTTGTTAGTAGATCACAAGTAATAAATATATGTCACCATTGATTTATGAGAAAGACATTAGGGGCCGTTCGAGTATTGCGTAACTTCCCCCCCCCCCCCATGTCACGCGCCGTAAAGTTTTTCTGACCCCTCCCTCCTCTATAAACTTTACATGAGACTCAAGTGGCCAAATCTATTGATGCATCAAACATATTTAACATGAAAGTTTTTACATGCCAGGAACACCTGGTGATGCTGACTTTGGGTGATCTTAATCATCCCTGTAACGCATAGTGACGTTTTAAAAGACTGGTGAAAAGTGCCTCGTTTAGACCTTCCCTAATAAACATTCTACTGAGTTGCAATTATTACTTAAAAAATTCCAGAATTGAAACCCTGATAGTCTCCAATAAGCCTATGCATTTCCTGGCTTTAAGAGTTTTAATTACTTTTTTAGGCACGAACCTAACCTGGAAGAGTTCCTGAACACGTTGTACAACCGGTCGGGCATGGCCACCGCGGGCGCTTCGCCCCCCGACGATACCAAGCGCCGCCGCCCCAAGAAACAGAAGCCCTAAGCACTCCCACTACACACGCTAACTACGTACAGTGACAACTAGGTAATATTACTTGAGTAAAATAAAAATAAATGCTTTTTTTATATTTGTTGAGAATTAAATTTATATCCATTACCGCCGTTAAATATTATGTTCTTGTAATAAAATCCTAAATATGGTTTTGTACTCATACCTTAAGGCACCAAAATTCACTATCGACATCCAAATAGTACAGGTTATAGTTAACATTATACCATAACATTTTAAAATGATTGTACAGTCTCATACATAAGCACGTCAGGTTATCCCACACTGTCGAATTTGTTCAGTTGATGAGTCAAAATTAAAGTTATAAATATTGGGAATTTTATTAGAAATTTATTAGAAATCAGACGAAGCGATTAGACAAATATGACAATAAAAGAAGCTAGTTTTTTTTTAAATAATTCAATAGCTCTAGTCGAATCCCTTTAAACCTAGGTACGCTTTCGTTTAGAAGTGCATATTTAGATTTCCCCAAAGAGTATTATTTATGTGAATACCTGAGCCCCTCCCATTAGCTGTTATTCGCCTTCCTTAACATTGTACGTAGTTTGCGTTATAAATTATATCGTGACGTGTACATGTAATATCCATGCCGGTATATCATGGAAATTTAACTGCAGTTTCATTACGAATTAGTTTTATTATATTCAATAAAAAATGTAGTTTGGAGTGAATTCATGCAGTGAAATTTACATGGAAGCCACACTCCTAAATACACCTGATAGAACTGATTAATCTGCCTTCAATAGAAATAGCTGAAAATGATATTTAAAACATAAACATTTTTGTGATTATATACTAATACAGGACATTAAGAGATATGCAATTAAACAGAGTCTATGAAAGGAATTATTGAAGAAAAAAGAATACTAGTTGTATAACGTGTATTTTGATTGCTGACGCAACTATTTTTAGGCTAAAGAACTTTTTGACTATCATTTAATATGATGCTAACGTACTAAGTTTGTTTTTACATTTGTAATACCTATTACGTTATAAGTTTATTTAAATTTAATGTGTTTGCATTTAAAAGCAATACGTTAGAATCGTGAAAAGAATTTGTTGAATGAAAACTGTAATCTCTGCTGGACAGGTCAGTCATTAAGTACTAAGTACTATTTCTAATGCAAGTTTTATTTTTCAGCTTTCATTCTTATAAATAACTGTGAAAGTCTATAACTCTGTCAAATTAAATTATTTAATTATAATTTACTATCGATTCCCTCTTTCCAAACATATTTACTAATAAAAAATATATAGTTTGTAATATCTTTTTTTCATATACATTATTCGTTTATATTACTGCAAAATTTGTGTAATCGTCACTTGTTTACTTAAAATGCGATTTTATCAACAACAAATTACACATGTTTATTTTTAAAAGCATCCATACGTTGTGTCAAGTTCGCTTCTAGTTTGTTTGCAAGTACATTTTCATTGAAAAAAAAAAAACAATAATTAAGTTTTTCGTTGTTTGGGTTGATAGTTAAATATTACCATTATAAGTGTACAAAAACCATTTGAAATTGCATTTTATGTAATCAAGTAAATAACTTATTCGAACTACAATGTTAAGTGTTCAAACACTTTATATAATAATTAACGTCTGGATAATATTCACACTCTTCTTAAAAATATTATAAGTTTAAAATAAATATTTGCAAAGCTGCATATTATATTGTTATTGCTTTATGTGGCATTGAAAATTTGTTTTATATAGTCAAAAACTTCACCGCACGTATTTCTTTGAGTTTTTTTTTTTTTATTTATTTACGTAATAGGCTTTTTATATTTGTCGTAGCATTGAATATAAATTATAATCATCAACCGAAGAGTACAAATTATATTATTATTAGCAAGCTTATATTTAATCATCGTGTTAATTTACATGTTATAACACTTTTAACGGCAAGAATGAGTTTAGTAATGAGTGAGTGCTAGTTGAAAATTCGCCAAATAAAATTATCAGGTTTTATTTGTAGATTTGACGGAAATGTAAAAGAAAACTATGTAACAAACTCACTACATAAAAAAAAACTATATTTAAATCTTATTCGCCTAAGTTCACGAAATACGAAGCAAAACATACACAAGTAGTACAATATTGTCAGAACTTAAAACACTCGGAATTTTTTTGTGTGTTATGTAATTTTAAAATATTCGCTGCCCTTACGTTTTTCAAGTCTACTACTAATATAACCTTGTTAATTTATTTCAAGAATCTCTATTATCACTCTGAAATTGAAATTACAGTTTTTGTATGTTCAAATTGATCGCGAGAGATGTATGTAATAGAAAATGTTACACTTTCGTTGTTGATGCTGCTCCAATATGGATGCACTGTCACTGCCTTTTGAGATTATTTGTTACAAGTATGAGATTGCTGTCCTAAATGTTCACTACGTAGCCTTACGTAGACTGCGCTTCATGTGTCAATAATAATAATAAAGAAGTGAAAATTAATACTCGTTTTTTATTTATCAAAACTCAGAAGTTTAACTTGCGGGATGTAGGTTTCAGACCATTGAACTTATACATTTTCAGACACGCTGACTCTTACTATTTTGGTATATTTACATAAGGAACAAAGTACAGTTTCCTTTAATAAGGGTAGCCTGGTGACAACCGCCACCTCACCGACGAAGTCGCCTTTTGTGTTATGTATAATACTAGTGTTTGAATAAAACTGTAATGTAATAATTCATTCAACCAAAACGAGTTATAATTTCTATTGTTACATTTTAAATAAAAAATAAATAAAACTCCACATTTAACATAACAAACTAATTTATATAAACATGTTTATGACTCCATGGTGTCACTACTTTTCCAATCTTTGTCAGTAACGATGCAGTTCTCATAAGTCCATTTTGGGAACATTCGCTTATACAAACTAAGCAACACCGTGTCTTGGGACTTGAGTTGTCCATCGAAAACGCACTTCATGTGGCCGTGGGTACCTGGGATAGAAAATAATTATTATATTAAAATTAAATATTATACATCAGATCTTATTCAAAGGTTTTGTAATCAGTGGTGGACTAAGGGGGGGACGGAGGGGACGATCCGCACGAAAATCATAATAATAGATTAAAGTTAAAAATGTATCCGCTGGGGTAAGCGCAATATCGAGTTTCTGTCCCGGTTAGAAAAAGTTGTCGATCCGGGCCTGTTGCCGCCCCGGACCTCCGATAAGGTTAGTCCACCACTGCTTTTAATAATCTTGACGTCATTCCCTTATATATTCCCAAACTCACAAATATTAAAACCGTCTTAACATATGTTAACTTCCCTTTTGTAATCATCTTATGTAATTATATTAAAAGGAATAACATACGTCTTTAATTTGTCTATCATAGAATTGTCTAACATTGGTAATACTTAAGTTACGTAAGTTCTTTTCAGATAAGTAAAATTTAACTTGAACAAAATTCTAAATTTAACTTGGGCTTTCACTACCAACATACAAAAAGCAGTTTATAAAATACTAAAAAAAATTAAACTGAGCGAAACCCTGGATTCTGGGGAAATCCACAAGGGCCACGCCATTAATTAAAAAGAAGAAGACCATAAGCCCGGGACAAAAAGAAAAGTCCATTTACTATTTTCACTCAATCGGAACCCTGAATCTCTGGTATGGAGAAGAATTGAAACCAGCATATCAGTACTGTAGACACTGTCAATGAAACTTTTTATTCAAGTTTTTTGTTAAAGGCCCCTTCAAACAAGTTTCTTTATGACGTGAACAGAAGTAATTCCTAACTCCAAATCATCCTGATATATCTTGTAAGCAGAATACATTCGAGAGAGCGACCCTAAGGATAACAAGTAAGTTATCTATTTTTTTAGTTCAGTTATCATTGTTTAGTAAATTGCAAATGAAAAAAGGTTTTATTAATAAAAAATGAACATACCTAAAGGTTCTTTAATATGGCCTGTACGCCCATATTTGGTTCGCAATTTGCACGGCTTATAATAGAGAACATCATCTCGGTTGAAGAACATAAATCTTATAACAGCAGACTTCTTATGTACCTGAGAAGAGATATTCAAAATATTACTTAATATATGCTGTGCATATTAAAAATATTTCAAATGAACACAAAATATTAACACACAACAAAAATATACATATAATCATAGAACATGAAGTATTTAAAAAAACTTACCTTGTAAGGATGACCAGACAAAATTATTCTCTTTATGATTAATCTGTCAGGGTTGCATGACAGAAGAACTCCTGATGCAATCAACTGTAGCTTAGTATTCCTTTTCTCCTAAAAGAGATCAGATTTGGGTTTTTTTTTAAATATAAATAGATGTACCTAAGCATTTACAATAAAACCTAAAACTAAAATGCAATTTCAACTCACCTTAAAGCAAAGAACTGTTGAAGGACTAAACTGAATCGGCGCAAAAAATGAGGCCACACACGTCGATGCAGGCTGGAAGAATCTTTCATACTGAAAAAGAAGTAACGAATTAGAATTTTTTAAATAGATAAATTTTGTATTTACAATGCTATTCGTGTAAATATTCTTATTGAAAAATGCTTAAAAAGTCCACCAGACCCATGTTCATGAGGTGGGACTTGAACCCATGACCTTTCGTAATCCACTGAGTTACCAAAGACCTAACAAATTTTTCAAGCACTGTTACTTTTCGCTACTAGCGAGCGTATTTTAATCAACGTCTCCAGGCAATCCACCCAAACAGCCGACAACAGCAAGTCCCACCACAGGGTACCTAAGGCTGATGGATTTTTAAGCAGTCTACATTAAGAATGTTTCAATATTTATAACTACCTTATGTTTCCCTCCATTAGTATGTTGACTGAATACAGGATTAACAATAAATCTTCTATAGCCAACTTGAAATATTAGCCTCTCTTTACTCTTTATTGGCTCATTGCTAACACCCGTTCGTTTCAACACCACATTCATCACCGACATTTTGTGTTCATGAGGTAATAAACCAAACACTGCTAACGGAGCAGAGGAGTTTGCTGCATAAAATGCTTTCCAGAGATCTTGTCGAACTCCTTTTACATGTATTGTTATGTAAAAACCATACTGAAAACAATTAAAAGTAAATACTTTTAAACTAGAGATGAAACGGATTTCCGGTTACTATCCGGTATCCGGCGTATCCGGCCTAATTTTTACTATCCGGCAGAATACCGGATAGGGTGCAAATATCCGGCCGGTTACCGAATAGTAAAATAAAGATAATCTCATTACTTTACACAAGGAATATTATACCACTTTACAAACATTTATTAATAAGTTTAATACTCAAAATTAACAAATGGCAAATAGTGGTGTATCAATACCAAACTTTCTGCTTTTGATGGTAAAAGGTGACTCCACTTTGCTTCATTTACCAAACCGGCTTCAGAGAATTCCTATTTTAAGTATTTGTCCGAATTTATGTTGGTAACTTTATCTCTGTCACACTCGAATGTTCAATGCAAAAAGTTTTTGGCAAAGTAAATGACATAAAAACTAAAAAACTAAATTAATTCCTTACGGGATCGATTATAGCAAATTTTTTATCGCAACAGGCCATAATAAATTGTATAGCGTCACATAATAAATTGTACTCTTTTTGTTCCCATCAATACAATGTTTCAAAAGTATAAAATAAATATGTATAAAAATACCGAAATAATTATACTGTCAGATTCTAATTAATAATAACGTGTTTTTTCCACTCTGACCCAAAACGTATTCCTAAATATTCAAGGTAGTTCTAGGGTATTTCAAATTAAAAATAATCCATAATTTTGAAATAAAAATAATAAAAATTACCATCTGCTTGATTTCAGAATTAATAACATATACTTAACAAGCTATAGATTCAAATCAAACTGATCGTGTCATGAAATGCGGTAAAACCCGAATATCCGGTAGCCGGATATCCGGCGTTCCATCCTCGTAGCTTCTCGAATATCCGGTATCTGGCCAAACTACTATCCTATCTATATATAGAGATGTAACCATCTCTACTAAACACTAATGAAAAATTTCCTTTGTATATATACATTACTCCTTGAACTTCAACAGTTTACTCAATATGAAAAGTAAGTTTGCAAAAAAAGTAAATATATACTTCTTCATACCATATTAATGAGACTCTCTTCATTTTCTTTAAAGATTCTTTTCCTTGTTCGATCATAATTTTCAAACTGAAATATGCGTGCATAATCAGCTGGCAAATTTTCTTTAGGGTCCCATGGAGAGGTTCTAAATGATTCTAGACCTCTATACCTCGTGAATCGTTCTCTAGCTGGTATATCTTGTGGGGTGTCTACTTCATCAGGAAATTGTTGGTCCTCTCTTGCTTGTACCAACTTCTGTAGCATCTCGTGTTCCTCATGAGCATCAATTGTTGCATCATATTTGTCATCAGGCATCCCAACCTCAGATTCAGTGACAGACTCAAAATCATTGACGGTTTCCTTATCTTCATTGTCAGAGTTGTCTTCTTCACATGACATGAACTGCTCATTCTCTTCATCATCACTATCATTACCTTCATCAGAATCATCACCTTCCACATCAGACTCAACAATCCAAGCAGCTTGGTAATCAGACCAGCCTTTTGGAACTCTCTTTACCAACTTCTTTTTAGTCTGTAAAGTAATGAAATTAATTAAAATTCCATATTACTAACAATTTAAATATTTAAACTTCAAAAACACTTCATATTTACCTCCATTTGAGATTGTTCAATTTCTTCTTCAGTTGGCCATGTTTGTTCTGCATCCATAGGATCAGGAACATTCTCTGAAACTAGACTCTCCTGCTTTGCAGGGTCAGGCATTTGTAACACTGTGACTTTGGTGACTTCAGCCTCCATTGAATCTGGTTTTGTATTCTCTTTGTTTAAACTCAAAGGATGTGGATCATCTAGTCCATCAATCTTAGACATCTGAAAGTCACCCAGCCCTGTTACATGAATCAATCCGTTAACATTTAAAGGCATTCCTCTTAAATAGCCACTAATTTTTAATGTGCCATAGTCTCCTTCTTTATCTGCTACATATTCAACCTCTTCAGCTAACATATACGGTCTTCTTTCTCTATGGTGCAGAACATTCCTTTTTTGATTCCCAATCCTACGCAGCAAATTCAATCCATCAGAGCTCTTATCAAGTTGCATAACTTTTTCTTCAGGTAACCACTTAGAGATAAGCTTCTGCACATTCTGCTTTTCTGATGTACGCTTCTTAGGGTTAACACCTTCTATATCCATAGCAACAACCAATGGGGTGGGCATGCCTTGTGCCATAGACAAGGCTAATACTTTTTCACCCCACTCATCAACAGGTTCATCTAAAGCAGAACTAACATACAGTACAGTGTCAGCTATTTTAAGGGCATCTAAGAGAGCAAAATCATTGTTTACTTCAGGACATATAAAGGAAAAACGTTGTTTGAAATTTGGTAACCTGAAACACAAAAAATAATTATCATTTGAAATCTTAACATTTTGCTAATATTATATAATAAAGAAAAAAAAAGAGAAAAGAATATACAATACCCAATATGCAATACTCCATTGTTTGACTGTGACACAATAACACCTTCAGAACAACTTTTTAAAATAGCCAATGCTGACTGAACATCTAATTGGGCGTTTAAAGGTACAACGCACACTAAGAAAGGGGGATTACGGTTCCCACCAAGCGCCCGTTTCTTAGATAACACTTCCTCACGTTTATTTTTACGTATTTGCATAGATTGATGCCGACGTTCATCTTTTTTCAAAATGTGACGATTACGCCTCACAATTTCCTTAACATTAACCTTTCCTAAAAAATAAACAAAACTTTAACACGCTGCGGACTTTTCATACCAAATTAGGATATATTAACAAATTTAAGCCTCGGAATTTTAATCTAACCTTTCACTGCTGCAGATATTCCCCGTTTCGACCTGTGACGAGATTTATGGACCTTGTTGCTCTGCTTCAAATTCCCAGGTCGATGAGCTTGCTGCATTTTGTTTGCTAAATATTCGAATTTATTGCAAGTTAGTTCTTTCGCGTTCGCATTGTATACAAAAACGACCAAATCGCAACGCACATGGTTTGACTGACATTGACATTTCCATTGATAGTGTAACTAGCACACAAAATATTAAGAAATTTTAAGAAAAAAAAGAAAACACCAAAAAAGCACCTCACTAGATGGCAACCCTACCAAAAGCTGATTTTTGCAGGAAATGAATGGATCAAAGATAGTCATTTCCATTAATATAATGAGGAAGTATTCAAAAATAAACGTTAGTTCCCGAAATCTCACTAGATGTCGCCATGGTACGTTCTTGATTTCTCCTTGACAACCTTTCCGGATTTCTTTCATGTTTAAAAGTAATTTAGTGTTCAAAACTGAATAAACAACTCATATTCTATTTGTACTATTTCGTATTTGTATTGATATCTAAGTTTCGAACTTTTCAAACTTCAATTTTTTAATATGTTAGTTAATAGGAACCGAAATGATTGAATCTTTGGTCCATTCGTTTCCTGCAAAAATCAACTTTTGCTAGAGTCGCCTTCTACTGGAGGTGCTTTTTTAGTGGTTTCGTTTTTTTTTAATACTTCCTCATAAATAATATTAAGAAACTGAAATTTTCGAAGTTCGAAACTTAGATATCAATACAAATTTGAAAAAGTACTTGTATTGATATCTAAGTTTCGAACTTTGTAAATTTCAGTTTCTTAATATTATTAATGAGGAAGTATTAAATATGTTACTTACAAGGAACGGTAATGTCTATCTTGGGTCCATTCGTTTCCTGCAAAAAATAACTATTGCTAGAGTCGCCATCTTCTGTGTTTAATAAAGAATTACTGGCTTACCCAGAGATTCTCAATAAAGAAGAATCAGAATGTCTCGCTGCACGAGTGTCTGCTCTCGAAAAAGTTTTCTACGATAAGTCAAAAACAAAAGAAGATCGAAAATTTTAAGTCCTAATTTAACATGGCCGAACTGTATTGGCCTAAACTTATAACGTACAATTATTGTTAACCCTAACAGTTGTTTTGGCACTATCATAGTTTGGTCTCAGAATTGAAAGCCCTAATTTTAGAATTCCTAACATGAAATCCATTACAATATATTGGCATATCTTCATTTAGCTTAAATATTAAAAGCTCTCATTTTAGCATTTCTAATCTTAAATGAGCAAAAAAAACAATTGGCTTGAGAAACGAATCGCAGCAAAACTGACACCGCCGAAAAACCGACATCACGTAGTCTTATTTGTCCGACTCCTAGAATGTTGTTTAAAACCGCGTAGGCGCGGAGGGGCGAGGTGGCTCGCGAGCTGAGGAGCAGGTGGTTTTAATGACCAGCTTCGGCTTGCTGGCCGGCTTCGCCGGCCAGCCTCAGCCGCGGCGGTGGGCGGTGACCATCTGCGACGATAAGCTCGCGTGGGACCACCGAAGCTACATGCTTGCTTACGTGCTGCATGCTTGCCTAAGTTATTTTGCCTCATAAAAACGTTAAGGCGTTTTATACTTTCTTACGTTTTAATTTTGTGCGTATTACTATTTAGTAATTGCGAGGAGTAGGGATAACAGATTGTTCCGCCTAATGTCACATTTGGTAAGTTACAATACGGCGATAAAAAGTTACGCGAAATGATATTAGATTAAACACCATTAGGAATATTAAAATTGTGCGAAAAAAAATTAAGCCGACCGTTTACGTGCCAAAGCCAATTAGGAGTACAAAAAATTAGGCGACGCAATATACACCCATGCCGCACCAGTTAGTTTGACAAACAATGGCTTAGCAATGAATCACACTGAAAGTTTACAGTATCTTGAAGTTATTGCGAACGATGTCAGCCTCGGGCAGAAGCACTGTACGAATGTCTGCTCTCGAAAAAATTTTCTACGATAAGTCAAAAACAAAAGAAAAACGAAAAATGACACTGAATAAAACGAAAATGTATGCCGCACCAGTTAGTTTGACAAACAATGGCTTAGCGAGGAATCACACTGAAAGTTTACAGTATCTTGAAGTTATTGCGAACGATGTCAGCCTCGGGCAGATTGGGCTTAGAAGCTGTAAGAAAGGGCTTAGAGGCTGAACAATATCAACAAATCATTAATGTTCTCACAAGCGGTGACAGACCTTGCAGAAAGAATAACTCAAGCTGATTTCAGGACATATGCAGAATTAGATAACCAAGGTATATATATATATGTGTGTATATTTATTTTTTTCTTAGAAAAAATACCTGCTTATAACTCGGAGTCACAACCATGAGTCACAACAAGCTACTCAAAAGGAAAGATGTCCTACAGAGAGTTAAAATTAAAGAGTAGATGCTCTTACTGAAAAACACACTCCACACCCCCTAAACATGATCGTTAATTTCATCCAATATACGATAACCCACTATTATCGTACGCGGATTGTACGATTGATTTAATGATGAAGCAAACTTTTAAGGATTCTCTTAATGACTCAAGAAAGGGAAACTTTATACATAGTATTATTGTTAAACAGATATTATTATTTATTATACTGGGAGGAACAAAATGACCGAAACAGCCGAAAGTTTCAAGTTAGGTTACATGCAAACGTTCATTTTATTTGACAAATATTTAAAAATAGAAGAGGTGTAAAAATAGAGTAAAAATTTAAATTTCTAAGTGTTGACAGCCCTATAACGCGCATGCGCAATATCGATTGTGTGCAGATTACAACGAATCACGAAACACATTAATTTAATTTAATTACTTACCGATATCTTAATGATAGTCGATGCTGAAAATGTCCACTTCCTCTTTGAAGACAGAGCTAAGCACGCTCTTTTCAATGCCGCGCATGCACGCGCAAAACACATCACATTTCACACAAAACTAAACATAATCTTCACTAAACTAAACTTAACACTCAAGACGAACACTCTAGTATCTTATTAACGAGAATTCAATTAAAAATGCACTAGAACAAAACAAAAATCGACAAAAAAGACGCTTCGCAGCGGTGCGTCGGCGGCGATGCGCAACAACACTCCAGCGCAAAAGGTCGGCGGCGACTGAGCGGCCGGAAAATACCGACAGAATAATGAAGCCGCATGGCGGCTGGCGGGTGGGTGGGGCTTTGATATCGAGGAACGAACTCGGTTCAAATTTTTTTTTATTCGTCGTTTGATATCACGCATTTATTAATGTTCTTTTTAAATCCTATTTTAATAACAAATTCCTCAATGTTTTTAAAACAAAGTTCATTTGTGTTAATGATGAATCGCTGGAAGATTTGTGAGTTTATCGAGTTTAACTAACGATCCCGTTGTTAAGGAGTATTACCCCATTCAAACAATTTTTTTGGAGAACTGCTCTTTTAAAATAACGTAGGTTAATGTTAGACTGATCTCTCTACAATAATTTAGGAAATTTTACACTCGGTTTCTTAATTGAGAATTTAAAGTTAAACGTCTCAAACTAACATCACTTAGTTTTCGTTTCTGATTTTAGTTTTTGGATGATCAGTTGATAGCAGTTTGATAAAACTAGGACTATTTGACTTGTGAAATTAAAAAAACTTAGATTATTGAGAATAAGCAGTAGAAATTTTCCACTTTTTTCAAATCAGAAACCGCCTATTAGTCTGTAAATCGATTTAAGCATTTTGACTGCCTTGTTTATTGATTGTCTGGTAGAATTTGCATGAAAGCAGTCTTATAAATCACAAACTAGATTATTTCGTTTTTAGAAATGAAGAAGTCAATGACCGATTAAAAACTTCTCCTTAGTACGTCCCAAAAACAGCTGACTCAGGGTTGAAAACACACATTCTTTTCCAAAAACTTTGTGATTTAATATCTCCGAAACTATTTGACCTAGACATATAATTTTCTATACATCATATTAAAGACAAATAGCACTCTCCAGGAACCTCGGGAGTGTCGGTCATTATGTTCCACCAAGTATACTTGGATCTTATAAAACGAATCTTTCTTACAGCGGAATAAAAAAGTACACTTGCTGAAATCTCTGACAACTAAATTGTAAAGGCTACAGTGGCGTAGCTACCAAGGGGCTAGGCGGGGCAGTGCCCCGGGGCCCTCAAGCTCAGGGGGCCCTCGAATCTTTACCAGAAAATCTCAGCTGAACACAACTTTATAAATTTTCAAAATAAATATGACAGGTGACAACTCGAGTTTAATCATGGCAATTTAGTTGTGAGAAATTCCAAAGTTATAAAAAGGGAACTCCCCTAAATTATTTGTGTGGGTTGACAGTGTTATTAATGTTTTCATCAATTTGTCGGATATCAATATCTGCATATTATTATTAATCGATATGCGTTTTTGTGATTCACGATTGTGAACTTCGAGTCGAGTAGTTTTTTTTCGAGAATGGTTAAAAAGTTAATGTATCAGGAGTAAGTAAGCGTATGTCAATAATTTTTTTGTACTGGTCCATACAAAAGTTCAATTTTATTTGATTATAGTACGTATACATAGTTACGTAAAGAAGTCTATAGATTTCGGCTACTCGTCCATTAATTACGTGATTTTTTTGTCATTTTTTAAACTATCAAATGTGGTAACACTGGCGGCGATAAAATGTTTGCCGGGGATTCCCCAACGACGTCTTGTATCATTACGTTTCGCTTTCCTTTTACTTGTAACGTTGTCAGTGAACAGTGAGCACCTACTTGTGATCTTACACAAATATTGGATAAATAAATTAGTAAACTAATATTATAGACAAAAAAAAGAAACCCAGTGGTGCATAAACGCAAACAACGCCAAGAAAGAGAAGAAAGTAAACAAAAATTGCCCAAAATTGACAAGTTTTTTAGTCAGCCTTCTGCAAGTACTTCTGGACAAAATATTTCTATTCATAATTTTTGTAAATAGCTTGCATGGCGATAGGTTAAATAACAGTAAGCTGGTGCAACGTATCTATGAATAAATAAATATATAATAAGCCCTTGAATCTTTTCTATTTCGTTTTATTGCCCAATACCTACATCAAGTATAAAAATAGTTGTTATTTATGTTGTTAGTGTTTAATAGTTTTATTACTTGCCCATACACGAAAAAGAGCTGATGATAAAGTTTTAA